ATAACAAATGTGTGCCAAGGACAACAACAACTTAGAAGTCAAAAACAAAGTCAAAAGAAAGTGTTATGTAATAGGAAATAGTTTATAAAATTGTTTTGATTGAGTTTCTCTTTTGTGTGTGTTGTGTGCATAAGCTAAATCTATATCTAATCTGATTAGGGAGTGTATGATGATGAGTTTAAATATCTTTTAGGGACTTGTTTCCTATTTTCTTTAATTAGGAGAATTATATGATTCAAATTTTGTATTATAATTTTGCTCTATATATAGAGAGCCAAGAAATAAAATATGGGTGTGTTCTGTTTAAGATCCTTGAACGTGTGGGTGATCTTATTGTGTGAGAAATTTTTCTCATCAAAGCCTCCTTGTGATCTAATGGGCCTATGGTCTTAAGCCGAGTTGCTACTATCATATCCAATACAAAACTAGATATGCAAATAAAACCTTAGGCTAAATTATTCATTTGGTCCTTTTATTTATTTTTTGGCTTCAATTTAATCTCACTATTTTTAAATGAATCAATTTAGTCTTACTTCTATTTAATTAATGCTAATGTTTAATTTCTGTTAGATTAAGTTAAATGACATTATGAGACATGCTAATGTAACTTTACGATACACTAATGTTGTAACGACCCCGCTGGTCACTACACACTGCACATCACACTAGAAACACCACACAGAAAGGAACAGGTGTATACATATAGGGTCTAGAATATATACATATACATGATCCAAATCTGGATAGAGTTAAAGTGTACGGAATACATCAAAAGCTACTACACTAAGTAGCTAAACATCAAAAAATCCTAAAAGATCCACTCCATCTGCCAGCTGCAGACTCACCATCAGCCACCTACCTATCCCTGCTCTGCTCCCATACGTAGTATGATCATCGCAGTCCAAACATCATGGAGACAACAAAGGGTAAGCTAGTGTAAAGAAACAACATACATATATAGCAATATGACAGTAAACAGCTACAGCTATCAGCACACCAGCACAGCTTATACCACACCACAACATTCAACAATATCAGCACTGCATAGCAACAATTTCAGCACCACTCTAGTGGCTATAACAGCACATAAAGCAAACCAAAAGGTGGCACAACAATGCTATACTGAAAGCCTGAAAGTTGCCCCACTCAGTGAACAATGCAAGAGCAACACCACCACCGCGGCTCACACCAGCCACAAAGAAGTCTCCGAACTTGATCCGAGATCCGATGCTCACGACGAACCGCCCAGCCCCGTTGACGAGCTCGATGACCTCCAGATCGGGAAACTCCCCGGGCAAACCATGAAGATCAGCAAACAGTTGACCCTAGAGCTGCGGCAACAGCTCGAAACAGAAATCCTCAAAAACGCCGACCTCTTCGCCTGGTCCAGCGCTGACATGCCAGGCATAAACGCAAATTTCATCTGCCACAGACTAGCGATACACAAGGAGGCAAAACCAGTCGCCTAGAGGAAGAGGAAGGTCGGCGGCGAAAGACGGGAAGCCATCGTCGCCGAAACACAGAAACTACTCAACGTCGGCTTCATACGTGAAGTCAGGTACACCACGTGGCTGGAAAACGTGGTCCTGGTAAAGAAGAACTCGGGGAAGTGGCGTATGTGCGTCGACTATACCGACCTAAACAAAGCATGCCCCAAGGACTCATACCCCTTGCCGAGCATTGACAGGTTAGTCGACGGAGCCTCCGGGCACGCCCTCCTCAGTTTCCTTGACACCTACTCGGGTTACAACCAGATAATGATGTACCCACCTGACGAAGTACATACATCCTTCATCACCGACCACGCCAACTACTGCTACCGGGTGATGCCTTTCGGCCTAAAAAACGCAGGGGCAACCTACCAGTGACTGATGGATAAGGTTTTCCATCAACAGATCGGGAGAAATATGGAAGTTTATGTCGACGACATGGTAGTCAAAACCACCTCGGCAATAGACCACGCTACCGACCTCGCCGAAGTATTCGCCCAGGTCAGGAAGCATAACATGCGCCTCAATCCGGAGAAGTGCGTCTTCGGTGTCCAAGGAGGTAAGTTCCTCGGCTTCATGATTACGAGCAGAGGGATCGAGGCCAACCCCGAGAAATGTAAAGCCATCATCCAGATGCAGAGCCCACAAACGGTGAAAGAGGTCCAACGCCTAGCCGGACGGTTAGTATCACTGTCCCGATTCATCCCCAAACTCGCGGAGAAGGCAGGACCAATCTTCACCCTGTTAAAAAAACCAAAGGGTTTCCTGTGGACAGATCAGTGCGAAGAGGTTTTCCAAAGCTTCAAATCTTTTCTCACAACCCCACCGATCCTACAGAGGCCAGATCACAACGCCGACCTCCTCCTCTACCTGGCAGTAGCTGAAAATGCCATCAGCGCAGTCATCGTACAAGAGCACCAAAAGGTACAGACACCTATCTACTTCATCAGCCGAGTTCTCCAGGACGCGGAAAGAAGATACCAAATGATCGAAAAACTGGCATTGGCGCTTGTCACCGCGGCCCGGCGGCTCCGACCTTACTTCCAGAGCCACCAAGTGGTAGTCAAAACTGGTTATCCCATTAAGCAAATTCTGCGAAAGCCCGAACTCGCCGGACGCATGATCGCCTGGTCAGTAGAACTATCCGAGTTCGGCATCCAATACGAAAGTCGCGGACCCCTGAAGGCCCAATGCTTAGCCAACTTCATAGCCAAGCTCACGCCAACTACTGCCGAGGAGCCCCAAGTATGGACTTTGCATGTTGACGGGTCCTCCAACTCCAAAGGTGGTGGTGCAGGTATCATCCTAGAAGGGCCAAACCAAGTCGCCTTGGAGCAATCCCTCAAGTTCGGCTCCAAGGTGACTAATAACCAGGTGGAGTACGAGGCACTTCTTGCAGGCCTGAGGCTAGCTCGCGACCTCGGAGCTCGAAGAGTGAAATACAACAGCGACTCAAAACTCATGGTGGAGCAGCTTAGTGGGACGTACCAAGCAAAGGATACTATGCTGCAGCGGTACTTTCACACCCCGTCCCGCCAGATCTCATCCTTCGACGTGTTCACCATAAAACACGTGTCGCGAGAGCAGAACGCCCGAGCAGACCTCCTATCGAAGCTCACCAACACCAAAAGACCCGGGCAGCACAGGACCATCATCCAGGAAAGCTTGCACTCGCCCAGCCTGGACGATAAAATCGTCGGCGTTAGCGACAATGAAGACCTGGGTTGGATGGAAGGCATCTGGAGTTACTTGAAAGAAGGAGTCCTGCCCGAGGATAAAGACGAAGCTCGGAAGATAAGGATGAGATCAACCAAGTTCATCATTATTGGGGATGAGTTATTCAAGCGTGACATTTCCTCTCCACTGCTCAAATGCCTGACGGCGTCTCAGGCAGCCTATGTCATCAGGGAAGTTCACCAGGGGATATGCGGCATGCACTCCGGCGCGCGCTCAATGGCGACCAGAGTACTCCGAGCTGGGTACTACTGGCCCACCCTGAAGTCGGACTGCCAAGCCCACGTCCAAAAATGCAAGGAATGCCAGCAATTCGGCAACGCACACCGACAGCCGCCTGAAACTCTCCACCACATGATGTCGGCATGGCCTTTCTCCCAGTGGGGAATGGACATCCTCGGGCCATTCCCCCCCGCGAAGGGCCAACTAAAGTTCCTCCTGGTAGCGATTGATTACTTCACCAAATGGATCGAGGCATGCCCACTCGCCAAGATCACCACCGAGAACGTGCGGAAGTTCACCTGGAAAAATATCATTTGCAGGTTCGGAATTCCTCACGCCCTCGTCACTGACAATGGCAGACAGTTCATTGCACAGGATTTCGAGGACTTCCTCCGCGAACTCGGGATCAAACACCTTGCGACCTCGGTGGAACACCCCCAGACCAACGGTCAGGCTGAAGCTGCCAACAAAATCATCCTCCGGGAGCTTAAAAAGCGACTAGGAACCGCCAAAGGGCAGTGGCCCGAGGAACTCCCCAGCATCCTCTGGGCGTATCATTGCACCCCTCAGTCAACCACACAAGAGACGCCCTACTGGCTGACCTACGGAGCCGACGCAATGATCCTGGTAGAAGTCGGCGAAGCATCCCACAGACGCCAAGTCTTCAACGACGAGTAGAATGCCCAAGAACTGGCGGCCGACCTCGATCTAGTGGACGAGCTTAGAGACGAAGCTCGAATCCACGAGGAAGCCTACAGGCTCCGAGCATCCCGACGATATAACACCCGAGTAAAACCTCGATCTTTCCGAGCAGGCGACTTGGTATGGCGGTTGCTAGGCGAAGCACGGAAAAACACGACAGATGGGAAGCTCGCACCCACTTGGGACGGCCCGTTCCGAGTTACAGAAGACCTGGAGAATGAGGCCTACCGACTAGAGGAGCTCAACGAAAAACCTATACCGCGAACTTGGAATGCTACGCATCTCAAGTTTTATTATAGTTGAACCTTGTATGAAGGAGCTGTGCACTCTTTTCCCACCTCAATCTTTTATTCCAAAAAATAGAAAGATGGGTTTTGGCTGAGAGGGTTTTTAACGAGGCACATTTACATAATCAATAAAATGACTCATTCCATTCAACTTACATCTTTTTCGCACCATTTTACGCCTAACCTCAAATGAAGGTCGAGTTCGAACCTTGGTTTATTAAGGTCAAGTTTGAACCTTCACGAAAATCTAAGGTCAAGTCTGAACCTCGGTTTATTAAGGTCAAGTTTGAAACTTCACGACAATCTAAGGTCAAGTCTGAACCTCGGTTTATTAAGGTCAAATGTGAATTTTCACGAAAATCTAAGGTCGAGTCCGAACCTCGATTTATTAAGGTCAAGTTTGAACCTTCACAAAAATCTAAGGTCGAGTCCGAACCTCGACCTCATTACAGTAAAATGTAAACCTTTACGTAACAAATATATATATATATACAAGAAAAATTCCCAGGATTCAACACTTGAGTTCAAAGCTGAAATAAATTACGATTACAAAATTAGCCTACACAGAGGCATTATCGCTGGAACTATCCTCAATGTCGTCCTCCCGGACCAGCTTCCCGAAGCGAACGACCTTCTCCACATGCATGCCGGAGAAGTCGAATCTTGGTGCAAGGAGCCTGGCCTGGCGAGCAGCCTTGAGGAAGCCCCTCTTATGCTCCACCACGATGGAGCGCTCGACCTCCTCAAGTCTCCTCTACAATGCCGCCTTCTCGGCCTCCAGCAACGACAGGTCTACTCTCTGGGCAGCAATCTCCTGCTCTTTGCTGCCAATAATAACCTCGTCGCGGAGACGCTCCTCGGTCACTCACACCAGCTCGCCCCTCAAAAATGCGACCTCATCTTCCAAAGAGCGAACCTGCTCCCGAGAAGACATCATCTCGTCCTGGGACGAGGTAACCAGCTCCTGCAGCTCGGCTCCCTGCATCTTTGCCTCACCGAGGGCCGCAGTCAGAACCCCATTCTCCCCCTTCAGGACTTTATTCTCATCTTTTAGAGACTGAACAAGGCTTTTCAGCTTCGCCATGTCCTCCTGCTGCCTCGACCACTTGTGTTCCAAGTAATCCACAATGGTCGTTCCTCGCTGAAGGAAGATCTGGGTAGCATCAAAACTTCCCACTGGCCCGGCTGACTCGATCATCGCCTGATCGGTCGTGCTCAACGACCCCCTCGGAAAGAACTTTTCCGGAGTCACCGCGGCGCTCCACAGAGAGTCGACCTCCTCCGACGCACTCAAGTGCTCTAGCCGCATGGGCGCGCCCTCTTGCGCATAGCGATACGCAAGGTACGGCCGCTTCGGCCTGGGGACCGGACCAGGGGTAGGGAACCCAGGGCTCGATCCCTCCCTACGAACCTCGGCAAAAGAAGGCGCAGATACCCCAGTGCCACTCCTCGCCTGCGAAAAGCAAGAGCACTCTTCTAAGAACAAAAGTATACAGAAGGGTAGAACGCCAAATACCATAGAAGGACTAACGGCCTACCTCGCAAACAGGAGCAACAGGTATTGCACCCTGGACCACTTCCCCGGTGACATCCCCCGCCTATGGACAACAACCTCAAGTAAAAAATGACGAAAATAGAAACAAGACTAAGAAAAGAAAAATACTCACCGCGGCAACCCGCCTAACAGCCCGAGCCGGCACCTCGCCGGGTTGAACGACTGGCTCAACAGCCGGCGCCACCTCTTTGGCAGCCACACGATTGACCCCCTCCGACCGCGGACTCCCAGCAAGGTCCACCACCCCAGCTTCTACAACCTGGGAAGCAACCTCCCCTTTCTCATGAGGGGCAGAGGTCCCCCCGATCTCTCCCCCACCCCTCTTTCGCTTTCGGTTGACTTTCAGAGGGGAAACCTCCTTCTCTAGAGGCTCGGAAACCCTGAGCTCGGTCACGTCGAAGCTGGGTTTCAGCTTGAGCCACAAGTCTTTTCCTATAAGGCCTACAGACAAAAAATAAGGCACATCAGCAAAGAAAGACTACACAAACCTCAACAAAATACCAAGATGTAAAACACTCACTCTCCGAGCCCCTTTCCCTATGCTCCGAATTCTCGAGCGACAGGATGAGTTTACAGTCCAGCGGCCGGAGAAGTGCCTTAAAACCCTCAATGGCGGCTACCTCCAGAGCCGTTAGCTGCGAAGGGTCCACCCCGTGAAACCCGGACGGGTCGCGACACCAATAAAAAGGAAATCTTGGCAAACTGCCGAAGTGGAACACCTCATCCTCCAGAGGGTCGACGCCGACAAGGGCAACCCGGAAGAATCCCTGCCTGTAATTCTTGTAAGACTGGGAGTACAAGGTGAATAAGCCCCCATCTCTACCCCCGTTCAAAGAAAGAACGCCATAAGGCGGAGCACTCGCCTTCAATTGATAGAAGTGGAGAAAGACCCGAAGGGACACCTCTATCCCTAGAACCACACACAAGACTTGAAACGCCCTTAAGAAACCCCAACTGTTGGGATGCAGCTGGCTAGGAGCCACGTTGACGTAATTCAGAAAATCACACTCAAACTGAGTGAAAGGAAGACGGACACCCAAGTCCCTGAAAAAACACTGGTAAACGTAGAAATGAGGAGGGTCGGTAGGGCTCCCCATGTACACGCCCTCACCAGCCGGACAAGGCTCCAACCGAATCATCCGAGAAATAGAGGGGTCACAAATTCTGTGTGTTCTCCAAACCGCGTTGACCTCTAAAACCGATTTGAACACACTCCCGACCTTATCCATCTCACGCTTAACCCAGGCATACCTAGGAATGCCTAGCTCCAAGTCCTCAGACGGAGGCGGGTCCGCCCTCTTTTCGGCGGCGGCCTTCCCGGTAGCCACCGCCTTACGACGCGCCTTGCCCTAAGAAGGCGCAGAAGGACCGACACCACTTCTCCCAGCCATGGAAAAGACGAGAAAGACTCGAAGAAGGTCGGGGAAGAAGGAAAAAGAAGACTGTAGAAAGGAAACACCTGGTACTCTCCCTTAGAATTTCACCCTAACAACGAAGGGGTTACCGGAAACGGAGAAGACGGAGACGGAAGACAAGTAGAAAAGCGAGAGCAACGGAGTGCACAAGAAGCCACAAGAATGGAAAAGAGCAAAGTGAAAAAGGCCAAGAGGCGCGAGTGAAAGAAAAGAAAAAACTCTCCCCCAGAATTTCAAAACGGTCACGACACGTGTCACCCAAGGGACACGCCTTACCACGCATTAAATGAGACCCCTTATGACAGAGGAAGCCATCATTGCATAACCGTCATGACCACTAACACGCGTTTCGAAATACGAAACGACTTTTGCACGCGTGGCATCTTGACAGGTGGACATACGCGAAGGGTCACTTCCCCCTGGCGAGCTCGGTCTTAACTCCTTGACCTACGATCTTCGGAGCTCGGGGGGCTAGTGTACTGACCGTACCGCGAAGCCGAGCTCCAAGCTCGACATCACAGTACCAGATGATCTCGGGCACGCGTCATACGACGTCAGCTCGGCATCACAGTGCAAGATGATCTCGGGCACGCGTCATATGACGTCAGCTCGACATTCAAGTGAATCACAACTGGTTCCCGAGAATCTCGCCCATACGAGATCCATTATCTAATCACTGATTACTGAAGATCTCTCCCCAGACAAGATCCGCTATCATATCTTATCTTAGACCCAGAGCCCAAAGCAACCCTAATTCACTCCAAGGTACGTGCATTACTTATACGAGACTATTACTCATACAAACCCTAACTTTAGCATCGGAGTCTCTTTTGCAGGTACCACCCCCATCTTGGAACACAAGCGTACCAGTGAAGGAGGCTCACCGATCTTACCTGGTGGATCAGCTCTACAGCAGATTTCCGGTAAGAACAGTTAAGATAAATAAACTTCTTTTTATAAATCTTATTTTATTTTCATTATTATTTTCAAAATTGACTTAAACATCTAGTTCAATTGATATAAACACGTTAGTTCCATTAAATTAAAAATAATTGGCTTATATAAGGATTAATAAAAATTTATCAAACAAATCTAAAATTGATAAAATATAATTAATATTCTATTAGTTTAATAAATAAAAATTATAAAATAAATTATGTGACACCCTTACTACCCCAACACATACATCGAAATAATATAATAAAAATTAGAAGAATAAACTTGATCAAATTGGTAAAAAAGGTCACATAAAACTTTATAACTGTTCTTTCTCAATGACTAAAAAATAAAACTTGAAAGGTAAAATTTAAGAGTTTACAGATTTTCAAAGAAAATTACATTCATTACGATACCAAATCCATATAAATATTCTATCCTAGAAATCCTCTATCCTGATGCCACACTATCAGAGCATTCCCAGAATTTAACTGTTGACATTCTAGATGTCACTCGTAGCCGGATCTTCTCCACCTAAAATATCCACAGTTTGTACAGTGAGAAAAGAAGATATCTATATGCAAGGTACATCCAAACACACCATATTAAAATCTTATCATATTTCTTTATTTAATAAAATATTTACGAGCATGTAACGTAATTTATCAATCCATCACACTCCACTTAGACTTTAACATTATCACTTTTACCTTTCCTCATAAAATTATTCATAATCCTACGGGCTTCCTCTTCTACCCAATTCCCTCATGTAACTTTGCATACAAATAATCCCCTTTTCTCCCGTACCAGGATAAACAGTGGCTGAAACTAAGGATTTAGTTGATCTCCTCCGCTGGGTTCCCCTCGGTCTTCAGAGAGTGCAGAAGAAGAGAAGAGAGAAAAGAAGAAAAGAATTCAGAAAATGAAAGGTGTGCTTTTTGAGAGTGGTAGAGTGCTCTATTTATAGGCATTAGGCTTCGCCAGAACGACCCGTTCCAAATCTGGAACGGCCCGTTCTGGACCCTTAACTCACGACTAAAAATCACATCCAGAACGGCCCGTTCTCAAACCAGAACGGCCCGTTCTGGGGTGCATTTAATACTCA